GCGCACTTGAAGGAGTCCGATCCGTTCTTCGCGAAGTGTGATTTGGCGGAGTGCGGAGGATCGTTTGACGTCTTCGCGTTTGCTTTCGGCTTTGCGGCGTTCAAGGCGAGAATTCGCTTCGAGATGAAGTCGAGATCAAGGCGTCGTGTTCTGGCGGGTCGAAAGAATCGCATGTGGATGTCTCCCATTCAAGCGGAGTTCGCGAATCGAAGAGTTTGATAACGGGGTGGTTAAAAAGGTCCATCCCGTGGGGGGCGATAAACCTCTTAATGCTCTCCTGAGCATTCACGGCAATTGTGATGGCGTTAAATATGCGATTCAATTTTTCGGCGGTTTCGCTCTTCATTTTTGGTAGGGCAGTAAACGCGGCGAAATTGGAGCGGATCAGCTCTCGATTGTTCTCATAGTGATTGCTCAGGATGGTCCAAGCTCGCTCGTAATTATCTCCGGTAATGAATGAAGTTTCTCGACATCTGAGATTGACGAGTTGTTGCCGATGAGCGACAAAAAAAGATCACGGAACGCGGGTCAATCTCCGTACGCGTCCGAAAAAGTTTGGAGCTTAATGCGCGGCAACGTAGTTTTTGGAGCATGCTCTGAATTCGGCTCAGATTTGGGTGAAGTAACTGACTCCGCATTAAGTTTGTCAGCGTACTCTGTTAGCGTGCTTCGTTGGGACACGTAAGTATATTCTGCGGTATCAATGAAATCGGCTTTGCGTACTCACTCTCTAAATATTTTTCTTTCAGAGCTGCCCGTATTAATTCGTGTTGAGCCTCGAATTTCGCCCAGAGATTATCGAAGATCATGAGACGAGCTTGAACGGCGCCGAGAATGATGTTGTTGACCTCCATCTTGCGAAGATTGTCTATGGAGACATTCGCCGGTGGATGTCGGCTTGAACTTTCAACAGAGCCTTCAGGTCGGCACTCATGATAACTGATTTGCTTTATCTGTTTAGGAACTTGCTGCACTGCACAGCACTGGAAAGTCACTCGCGAAGCTGCGGATGAGAAAAAAGCTCCGGCTCGAAGGACTAGAATGTTCGCGAAGCGACTGCGGAATGTCCAAATACTTGTACGACGTCGGGGTTAGAGCGTACCTTCTTCCAAGTATGCGAGCCGCACGACGAGTACTATAAAATATAAATAATTAGACAACAATATTAAAAATCAATAAGTAACAAATTTTTTTAAACGATTTAAACTTACGTGTCGCATTTCTGCTTCTTACACGGTGGAGTTTCACCGTTTCGAATCGGAACGTAGAAATTCATATTTCTTCAGCGGTGAACCTGTCACACGCGCGATTGATGCAATACTGCAATCGTATAGAATCAATATCAATTCAAATAGTATCCCAAATTGCGATGTAGAGGGGATTATTGCTGACGCAACATTTTAATTTCCTCCAAAATTTTGTCGCGCCGATGTACGGCTGCGATGACATCATCCTCAGAACAAAGATTTAGCTGAAATTGCTAAAATCGAGCGCCGATGTACGGCTGCTCCTGATACAATCACGTTAAAATTTTCAAATGTACGTGACAAATAGTGAAAAAATAACCGCCAAGGTTAAAATGTGTATCATCCCTAGACAAAGATTTAGCTGAATTTACTAAAATCGAGCGCCGATGTACAGCTGCGCCTGATGCAATCATGTTAAAATTATTCAAATGTATGTGACAAATAGTGAAAAAATGACCGCCAAGGTTAAAACATGCATCATCCCCAGACAAAGATTTAGCTGAAAGCGTTAAAATCGAGCGCCGATGTACGGTTGCCCCTGATGCAATCACATTAGATTTTTCAAATGTACGTGACAAAACGTGAAATTATCAAGGTCAAATTGCACACGGTACTACGGGGAATTTTTGTAAAATGAAATCGTTCTAGAATGTTCGATGATAAAACAATGCATGAGACGATATATAAATCATGATAGAGAGTCGCACCAGTAGCTAAAGTGCATCAGACCTGTCATTAGAAACGCTAAATTTTGCAAGTGTACGTTAGCAATATGGAGAAGCAAATTTTGCGAGAACAATCCGCTTTGCTTGATTCGTTGGAAAACTACATTGTGTGGGAGCAACGATGCGACGAGTACATCGAGTCGCTGGAAGAGCAAAGTCGAATCAAACGGCCGCGATTATCGATCGGAAATCGACAATCACTGATTGCTCGGATCGCGCGCCTCGAAGGTTTGAAAAATTCGGTACGTGGACGTTTCGTACACGCGGGTGCCGGATGTAGTGTGCGTCAAAATGCACTTGTGTGGCGCGAAATTGATACAGCGTTCGAGAGTCGCGTATCAACTGGTGCGGTGATAAACTATAATCACATCGAACTATAATCACGCCAATTTCTCGATGACGCTAAAGACATTGTGTTGGAATATGTGCAGGACGCTTTAAAAAAACACAACAGTGTAAAAATGAACACTATATTCAACGGCGAATTTGTGTCGGGTGATAAACACGCGAATAAAAGTGTGAATACGAGAAACTATGAACTCTTTCGCACATCCGATTTACGCGAGTGGTACGAACGGCGTGTTATCAAGTCCACCCTAGCGTCGCTGGAAGAGTTTCAGGAACGCGATAGCGGATGGGCTTTGTCGCGAATACTGAACTTGACTGTAAATATAAACAAGTAAATATACAATCCTTTGTGCGCCGGATGTCACATCAAGTTACCGCGGGAGATTATGCTAAAGAGAGCGGTGATTAACGTGCAATCAAAGGACAATGCGTGTTTCGCGTGGGCAGTGGTCGCCGCTCTGTATCCCGCCGAAAGTCATGCGGAACGGGAATCATCGTACCCGCATTACGCGACAGTGCTGAATCTCCGGGACATTGAGTTTCCAGTGACTGTGAATCAGATTAAAAAATTTGAACATGCAAATGACATTTCAATCAATGTGTACGGCATCGAAGACAAAAACATTGTCCCGATACGTCTTTCGGATCAGAAGCGGGACAAGCATGTGAACCTGCTGTACATTGAAGATGACAATAGCGTGGGACATTTCGCTTGGATCAAGAATTTATCCTGGCTCGTGAACTCACAACTAACCAAAAATTATCACAAGAAATATATCTGCGATCGGTAAGTTTATTTTATATTATTTGAAAAATTATAATTTATATAAAAAATCTTATGATAAAAAAATTTTTTTCTTTTACAGATGCCTTCATTATTTTTATTCAGATGCCAAGTTGCAATCGCATACGGTCGACTGCGAAAAGCTAAACGACTGCGCTGTCCGATTGCCGAGCGACAAGGACAAGCGGCTCGAGTTCAGCAACCCTAATCGGAAAGAGCGGCTTCCATTTGTGGTCTACGCCGACTTGGAATGTGTCTTGGCCAAGACGAAAGAAGAAAAATTATATCAACGCCATCGGGTATTTAGTTTAGCTTATTATGTACATTGTTCGTACGACGACTCATTATCGGCCTATCATTCGCGTCGTATCGCCGATTGTTTAGCATGATTCGCCGAAGACCTTAAAAATTTAGTAATTCGCGTTAAGAATATTTTAAAAACAAATGTCCCCATGGTAAATTTAACGTTCGAAGAGTGGGAGAAATTCCATAGCGCCACACGTTGTCATATATGCGAAAAGCCGTTCGCGCAAGACGATACACGCGTTCGCGATCATTGCCATCTGACCGGGCGGTACAGAGGTCCCGCGTATTCAAATTGTAATCTAAATTACAAAAATTCTTTTTGCATTCCGATAGTGTTTCACAATTTATCCGGTTATGATTCTCATTTTATCATCGAGGAAATAGCCACAGCGTTCGAAGGGAAAATCGAGTTATTACCGATAACCAAGGAAAAATATATTTCGTTTACCAAAATTGTTGATTTTAAAGAAGAAGAAGAATAAAAAAATCAAATAAAATTACGTTTCATCGATTCATACAAATTTCTCGCATCGAGTCTCGATAAATTGGCATCATTTTTGGACAAAGATAAGTTTAACATTTTAAAATCGAAATTTCAAAATTTATCAACAGAAAATTTCAATTTGTTAACGCGAAAAGGTGTATTTCCGTACGAATACATCGATTCCGTCGACAGGGAAAATCGAGTGTGCGAATGTGTTCGAAATTAAAATCAATCATTTCGAGTTCAGAAATCGCATAGCGGAACTCGCATATTCTCGCTAATAAATATTCGAATATTTATTATATTTAAAATTAACGAGCGTCGAGAAAGTTCTCGAAATCTTTGTTTATCGAGAAAAAACTCGAACACTCGAGCTATCTCATTTTTTTTCGTCAGAAAAGGACGCTCGTTATTGCCGCGGACAATAACATTGTCAACCGCCGTTAAGACTTGCGCCGCTCATGGGCATGCGCGCCCATGCGTCACGATCAGCTGATCACCAATCAGCTGATCTTAAAAGATTGCGCGCATGAAAAATAAATTGTTTATGACATGAGACGTCATTATCGGCCAATGACACACATCGCAATCGTGTCACCGCTAAAATCTTAAATTAATTGGTCCACGTCGACGCGGGCCAAAAATTCCGAGCGCCTTATAATGGGCGCCGCGCGTGGACCAGGCAAGTCTCGCACTTAACGCTGCTCGCAGTACGCTTTGAAAAAACCGCTTAGAATAACCGCTCAGTTTAACCGCAAAATACGTCGACCGCTTTGTTTCTCGGACTTCTCTGTACGTTTTCTGGATCTGAAATTTTATGTTCAGTTTATTGTACTTTGTTGATTGTGGTGCACTAAATAAAACGCAAAAACCAAAAAAAAAAGGAATTACGTGTCGTGGCAAGCTTTTTATGTTCAATTATCTGTTCGCGGTCATCCATCTGCCGCGTCATCAAATTCTCGCGTTGCCGCAGCAACCCGCGCTCACTCGCGAACATTTCTGGTCCTTCGAGCCGGATATTTCCGCATCCGCAGTTTCGTGGGTGACGTGTCCAGTGCTGTGCAGTGCTGCAAGTCTCCTGAGACAGACAAACAGACAAGTGAACAATGAGTGCCGACCTGAAGGCCTTATTAGAGGCCCAGAACGACATCCACGGACGAATGTCTCGCTCCGTGGATAACCTCCGGAAGATGGGCGTCACCAACATCACCGCCGGTGCCGTCCACGCTCGTCTCACCATCCTCGACAACCTCTGGGCAAAATTCGAGGCTCAACACGAGCTCATACGAGCGACGCTGAAAGACAGATACATGGAGAGTGAGTACGCCAAAAGTGACTTCATAGATACCGCGGAATGTACGTACGTCTCACAGCGGAGCACGTTGAGCGACTACGCTGACAGGTTACGGGCCGAGTCAGCTGTCGCACCAAGGATGGAATCGAAGTCGGACTCTTCTCCTAAAACCGCGTTGCCCCGCATAAAATTGCCGCCGTTCTCAGGCGCCTATGAAGACTGGCCTTCCTTCCGGGACCTCTTTTTATCCCTCGTAGGAGAAAATCCATCGGTCTCGAACATTGAGCGGTTCCATTACCTTCGTTCCTGCGTGAAGGGATCTGCGGAGAAATTAATTCGGTCGTTAACGGTCACAAGCGAGAATTACGACCGCGCATGGGCGATCTTGGCGAAACATTTCGAGAATAAAAAGTAGCTCAAGCGCTCAAATTTCGCTACCTTTACCGCCGTCGGGAAAATGAAGTCCGAGTCCGCCGAAGAGCTAAGCCGGGTCCATCACGCCGTCACGGCCACCGTCAACGCGCAGGAGAGCATCGGTAGACCCATCAACTCCCATGGAATGGATCTCCTCAATCACTTGGTAATCGAACTGTTCGATTCGCGAACGCGCCTCGAGTGGGAGTCCTCCACCAGCGATTCTCCCGATCCACCGAGTCACGAGGCACTCACTGACTTCATAAGTAAAAGAATTCTTATCTTGAACGCCGCCAAGCCCAAGATCGCCGTGAAGAGTGCCGGGGAAGCCTCTCGGACCGCGAAGACTCACTTCGCGAAAAACGTGCCCGACGCGTCCAAATGCGCCGCCTGCAAGGGCAAGCACACGCTCATGCAGTGCCCCGAGTTCAAATCCAAGTCCGCGAGCGAAAGGAAGTCCTTCGTTGAGGTCAGCGGACTCTGCTTCAATTGTCTCGGGAACCACATGATGGCACGGTGTCAGTCAATTAAAACGTGCTTCACGTGCAAGTTGCGGCACCACACGCTGTTGCACGACGCGTACGCCGCACCAACACCACAAGAAGCGAGCACTTTCTCCACGACACGCACTTCACTTGACAAACGGGCGACTCTTCTCGCCACAGCGCGCGTCACTCTGACCGACCGTCTGGGACGACCTCAGGATGTGCGAGCCCTGCTCGACCAGAGGTCCGAAGTGTCCCTCGTCTCAGAGGACTTGGCGCAGCGCCTCCGTCTGACGCGCACCCGCTCCTCGATCTCCATAGTTGGAATCGGAGGAGCATGTTCAGGATCCACACGAGGAAGGGTGACGCTCGCTCTCAAGTCAAGAGTGACCGGAGCCCCTCTCACCGTAGCGGCCTATGTCCTCCCACGGCTGTCGTCCTACCAGGGACCAGCAATCAAGGGCTCCACCACGTGGCCGCACATCCACGGCCTCACTTTGGCGGATCCTCATTATCTCCAGCGAGATCCCATCCACCTTCTCCTCGGCGCTGATGCCTTCTCCGGGATCCTCCTCGAAGGTCTCCGAAAGGGTCGCAAGGACCAACCCATCGCGCAGAGGACTACGTTCGGGTGGATCTTATCGGGAGGCTGCGGAGTCGTGACGGCCAACGGCTCCCTCAGCTCTCTCCAGTGCACCGTAGACCGCGACCTGAACGCCCTAGTGCAGAGGTTCTGGGAGCAGGAACAGGAGCAGCCTGCCTCCGTCGTGCTCACGCCAGAGGAAGAGCAATGCGAAGAGATCTTCGCCCGCACGCATGAGCGCCTCGCCGACGGAAGGTACATGGTCCGTCTTCCGCTGGCTGGCCCTCTTCCACCTCTCGAACACACGCGGAAGTCCGCCGAGCGACTTCTCGCGGTAATGGAGCGACGCCGCTCCAGAGACGCCGGCTTCAACAAGCTCTATGGCAGCTTCATGGAGGAGTACTCGGACCTGCAACATATGACCCTGGTCAGAACACCGCTCATCAAGAAATCCGCGTGTTACTTACCACACCACGGAGTGCTCCGGACTTCCAGCACGACCACCAAGTTGAGAGTGGTCTTCAACGGATCTCAATGTACGCCTGCCGGAGACTCACTCAACAACGCATTGCTGGTCGGAGCCAATCTTCTGCCAACTCTCGCCGACGTCCTCCTGCGTTGGCGCTGGCACCGCTTCGCCTTCATCGCCGACATCGAGAAGATGTACCGGCAGATTCTGGTGCATCCCGACGTTCGAGACCTGCAGCGGATCCTTTGGAGGCAAAACCGCACCGACGACGTCCAGGAGTATCGCCTCAACACGGTGACGTACGGACTGGCCTGTGCACCGTTCCTGGCGATCAGGACTCTCCGCCAATTAGCCGACGATGAGGAGCCGGCAAACCCAGCGGGAGCAGTTGCATTGAGGCGCGACTGCTATGTCGATGATATCGTCACAGGCGCCAGCACCCTGTCCGAGGCGGTCGAGAAGCAGAGGCAGTTGCGCCGACTCTGCACGGCGGGCGGGTTTCCCTTGAGGAAGTGGGCCTCAAACCACCAGAGGATCCTCGAGGAGATACCACGGGAGCATCAGCTCCAGCAGCCACACCACGACTGGGAGGACGAAGCGCACCCGACGCTTGGGTTACGGTGGCACCCCCGCAGCGACTCCTTCACATTCCGCCTCCAGCCTCGCACGACTGCCCCGCTGACTAAGAGACAGGCGTTGTCGGAGACGGCTCGGATATTCGATCCGTTGGGCTGGTTGGCTCCAGTCACCGCTCGGGCCAAAATCCTCATCCAGTCAGCCTGGATGAAAACAGCTGGACTGGGACGCCCCACTGCCTCAATCAGATGAGACGTTGTGGAGACGTCTGCTTGAGGATCTTCCGATGCTGGAACAGCTCCGGTTGCACCGATGGCTGAGGGCCGATGACCAACCTAAACGCGTTGAGCTCCACGGGTTCACTGATGCGTCGGAACGAGGTTACGCCGCCGTCGTATACCTCCGCGTGGTGAGCTCCCCCTCGACCACGATCAAGCTGCTTGCTGCAAAAAGCAAAGTCGCTCCAATTAAGCCTGTGTCTCTGCCGCGCTTGGAACTGTGCGCTGCGGTCTTAGTCACTAACCTGACATTTCATCTTCGCGAAGCCTTAGACTTGCTTTCAGCTCCAGTCACTCTATGGTCGGACTCCCGGGTCACTCTTCAGTGGATACAAGGACACGCCTCGAAGTGGAAGACCTTCGTAGCCAACCGGGTGTCCCACATCCAGACGAAACTTCCGGAGGCACGATGGCGACACATCCCAGGGCGAGACAACCCCGCCGACTGCGCCTCTCGGGGGATTGAGCCCCGGGACCTGCTTAACCACTCCCTCTGGTGGACGGGACCCCCTTGGCTCGACAAGGATCCAGCGTCCTGGCCACAACACGACCACGCCGCACACGAAGTCGAGGTGCCGGAGACGAGAGCAATCGCCTCCCACTTGACGATCGCGGAGAAAGCCGAGCCAGAGATGCTTCTCAGGTTCTCCGAGCTCCATCGCCTCCTGAGGGTCACCGCCTGGTGTTGCCGATGGCGAGGCGCCACCTCAAGGCCGAAGGCTCACCCCAATCTCACGCCTGACGAGCTGGAAGAAGCCTTGCTCCTCTGGCTCCGCATGGTGCAAAATCTCCACTTCTCCAAGGAGATCGCAGCCCTGAAACAGAATAAGGAGTTAGTCAGGGGTTCACTATCGAAATTAACCCCCTTCCTCGACGATCATGGGATCATTCGAGTCGGGGGCCGACTGAAGCACGCTGTGCTCTCAGGAGACGAACGCCATCCGATGATCTTACCTCCAGAGTCGTGGATGACGCAACTCCTCGTCAAGGCACACCATAGACAAACGCTTCACGGCGGGGTTCAGCTCACCCTGGGACTGCTACGCCTGCGGTACTGGATTCCCCGAGGACGCTCCATCGTTAAAGGAATCATCCACCGATGCGCCACGTGTGTGAGATGGAAGGCCGCAGTACCTCAGCCCATAATGAGCAGCCTCCCGACAGCACGAGTCACGCCGGCACGTCCATGCCTGCGAACCGGTGTTGACTATGCCGGGCCGATTCTCATCCGGACCGGAAAAGGAAGAGGTCACAAGGCACACAAAGCGTTCATCGCCGTCTTCATCTGCTTCACCACCAAGGCGGTTCACTTGGAAGCCGCTTCGGACTACTCCACGGATGCGTTCCTCGCGGCATTCCGGCGCTTCACTTCCCGTCGGGGCTTGTGCAAGGAAGTCTACTCCGACTGCGGCACCAACTTCGTCGGAGCGGACCGAGAGCTGCGACGCCTGTTCCAGGCATCATCATCCGACGGCCGTCGCATCGCCCACGTTGCAGCGTCCGACGGGATCCGCTGGAGGTTCAATCCACCGGCAGCACCTCACTTCGGCGGGCTTTGGGAGGCGGCGGTGAAATCTACGAAACACCATCTCCGAAGGGTCCTCGGAGACACGATCCTCACCTTCGAGGAGATGTCGACGCTCCTCGCTCAAGTGGAGGCGTGCCTCAACTCGCGTCCTCTCCAGGCGCTCTCGGACGATCACGACGACGTGACAGCTCTGACACCAGGGCATTTCCTGATCGGGACCCCACTGCTGGCAGTGCCTGAGCCCTCGCTGGCGGACGGCAGCCTCAGTCTTCTGCCCCGCTGGAAGCTCCTCCAGCGGATGCGCGACCACTTTTGGGAGAGGTGGTCGCGGGAGTATATCAACTCCTTGGCATCTCGACCGAAGTGGCTGAAGGACTCAGCCAGTCCGGCCGTCGGCACCCTGTGCCTCGTACGGTCGGACACAACACCGCCGACCCGATGGCTACTCGCCCGGATCACCCGGCTGCATCCTGGGGACGACGGCGTGACACGCGTGGTCACTATACGCACCGCATCCTCGGAGCTTGTCCGGCCTCTCACCAAGATCGTCCTCCTGCCTGGAGCCGACACCGCAGCAGCAACGCACCCGGATTCGTGAGCGACACGGAGCGCCGTGTTATTTTATTTTATTTTATTTAATTCTTTTTTTTTTCTCAAAAATTAACTTGTCCGTCCGCGGAAATGTTTATCACGGCCGGTGCCGTGCATTGTCCGACGACCGTACCGCGCACTTAACGTCTTTTCACTTTTTTTCTCTGCGATCACCGCGTCAAATCTGCATCTTCACTCCACTGCACTTCACTTGCGATCACTCACCACCATACACTCGCGAGACCGCTCACTAATTCACTTCGCTCATTGTTCATATGATTCACCGCCGCACACATTTCGCAATTACGCATTATGCGTTCTCGCGAAAGATCCGACTGATCGCAATAACACATTGTACGCTACGTCACTTTCACATTCCATTCATCAATCACTTCTCATCTCATAATTGGAGCAGCTTACGACACCTGTACGCGCTCTCACACACTCGGAGATTTCGTCACGTACTGACGAGGCGGGCGGGATGTTCGAAATTAAAATCAATCATTTCGAGTTCAGAAATCGCATAGCGGAACTCGCATATTCTCGCTAATAAATATTCGAATATTTATTATATTTAAAATTAACGAGCGTCGAGAAAGTTCTCGAAATCTTTGTTTATCGAGAAAAAACTCGAACACTCGAGCTATCTCATTTTTTTTCGTCAGAAAAGGACGCTCGTTATTGCCGCGGACAATAACATTGTCAACCGCCGTTAAGACTTGCGCCGCTCATGGGCATGCGCGCCCATGCGTCACGATCAGCTGATCACCAATCAGCTGATCTTAAAAGATTGCGCGCATGAAAAATAAATTGTTTATGACATGAGACGTCATTATCGGCCAATGACACACGTCGCAATCGTGTCACCGCTAAAATCTTAAATTAATTGGTCCACGTCGACGCGGGCCAAAAATTCCGAGCGCCTTATAATGGGCGCCGCGCGTGGACCAGGCAAGTCTCGCACTTAACGCTGCTCGCAGTACGCTTTGAAAAAACCGCTTAGAATAACCGCTCAGTTTAACCGCAAAATACGTCGACCGCTTTGTTTCTCGGACTTCTCTGTACGTTTTCTGGATCTGAAATTTTATGTTCAGTTTATTGTACTTTGTTGATTGTGGTGCACTAAATAAAACGCAAAAACCAAAAAAAAGGAATTACGTGTCGTGGCAAGCTTTTTATGTTCAATTATCTGTTCGCGGTCATCCATCTGCCGCGTCATCAAATTCTCGCGTTGCCGCAGCAACCCGCGCTCACTCGCGAACAGAATGTGTATGAGAATATGAAGCGTGACATTGTTAGATTCGATACGAACGATTATGCGGTGGATAATGCGTACGGTATACCGCGTGTAAATAAAAAGGTGCCGGGTCTGATGAAGGACGAAAATAACGGTGCCATAATGACCGAATTCGTCGGGCTCAGAGCAAAGATGTACGCGTTACGAGTGAATGGAAAAAAGGATACGAAGAAAGTCAAAGGTGTCAAAAGCAGCGTTGTAGCGAGATCGATAACGTTTGACGATTACACGCGGTGCTTGAACAAAGAGATTGAAATGACGCGTCAGCAGTCGTGTATACGATCTAAACTACACCAAGTATACACGATTCGCGAGACGAAAATTGCTCTGAGTCCGTACGACGACAAGCGGTATATCGTACCCGATACCACCGATACATTACCGTGGGGACATTATCGGATACCGTTGTAAATAAATGTATATTTCGTTTATTAATTGTATATATTTATATTGTATATATTTTGTACATTTTATATTATATATTTTTATATTTATATATTTATATTTTAATAAATTTAATATATTTTATACGCATATTTTATGTTTCAATAAATGTTTACAATACATTATTTTTATGAATCCAAGAGTTGTATGATTTATCCATTCCCAACCATTTCACATAAACCTCATCATCCTTTTTTTGTAAAATTTTTTCCACGAGATATACGTCGGGATTGGCGACGCGTTGTAACTCGTATTCGTAGAATCCTCCAGCGACGGGATTTCCCCGCGAATCTTCGAGTATGCATGTCGCGGGATTAGTTTTCTGCACCTCGATAATCTTAAAAATTTCGGTCGTCCAATTTGGTGTGAAACCTTTTTCAAAGATGGTCTTGTATTTGCTCACGCGTACCGAATTGCCTACTTTAAATTTTGCCGGAGCCGCAATTTTTACGTTGCTGTACACCGTATTTAAAAGTTTTTCGGTGATCGTCGGAGTGACGTCGACAGGTCTCATATCGATGGTGCGATGTTTTCGCGTATTGTACTCTGCAACAAGTCGAGATAGTTTCGATCCATTTGTAATTTCTATTCAACGTAAACATTTTCCACATATTGTTTTTTAAAGTACGATTGAATCGTTCCACGACCGAGGCTTTCATAACGGAATATGTCGAGTAATTTACGTTGCGAGCGTCGCAGAAAAAGGCGGAAAAATCTCCGACCGCCGCCGGCTATCGAACTTGGCCGGTATCGTCCGCCAATCGTATGCGAGATCTCTCCTCGCGAAACTAATATCTTTTCGCTTATTGCGTAACTAATCGGCTATCTTATTTCTGGGTTGTCGACTTCGAGTACGCTCGGAGGAAATTGCGAGATACGCAGTTAATTAGTCAGATCTCCGCGAGGCTGTCGAAACTGCGAATGATAGGCAGGTACTATCGCTCTCTCTCTCTCTATCGCGTATGGTACGACCGTTAGCGAGAATTCGAATTGCCAAAATTCCGTTATAGAAATTCTTGTTCTCAGGAGCTTCGACTTTAGGAAGCCTCCGTAATAGACGCTCTTTGTTAGACCGACTTAGGATATCGCGCGTTTTTCTAGCGTTTCGAGATTT